TCTCCTGCCTCGCCGCAAATGCATCTCAACCTCGTTTTATCACCCCGCATCCCCGTTCCATGTGCCCCCATGAGGCTGCAGAGCAATGCCACAAATCCTGACCGGCAGCAAGGTCCTGCTCCATCCCAGCCATTGCTTCATGCAGCTACAGGAACTCACAGCCACTTAAGCCGGGCGGATCAATAGCAGCCGGTGCCCGTCTCTGTACGACCTGCATGTTGCTGCTCAGGCACTCAGCAAACAGAGCACGGTGCCGTGGGGTAGTGATCAGACACAGATAAAGTGTCCTGCGTTTTCTGCCATGGCGAACCAGGCTTCAGACCGGCTCCTTGGTCTGTAATGAAACTCAACCCTGAGCACACGAGGCTTGAGTTCCATTTCTGTTTTTCTCATCTAATGGCTTCATCCTCTTGTTTGCACAGAACCGCATCGAAGTGAGCGGTGGAGAGCTGAGATTTTCCAAGCTAGTCCTGGAGGACTCTGGCATGTATCAGTGTGTGGCTGAGAACAAGCATGGCACAGTATATGCAAGTGCTGAATTAACAGTGCAAGGTAATTCCTCATCTCCCAGTGCTCTGGGTTTCAATGGGACACTGAAGCGTTTTAGATCTCTTCCGAATATCCGATACTTGTGATCTCAGAGTAAGATAAGAGCAGACAAAAACTGCTTCACTCACCATTGAAATATAGCTGCTGGCTCAACAAGACACTCTACAACCCCTTAAAATTTAAACCTTGTGTAAATTCAGTAACGCTGCAAGAGAACAAGGACATCTGTTTGGCTGCAGAAAGTGTACGGGACAGGCAGCAGCACAAGCTCCCTTCCTCCTTTTTGGGAGAAAGAGGTCAAAGAAAAGAGCTCAGTGCCCAGTCAGCCCACTTTGATGGATAGCGACTGGAACGGGGCTGACACCAAAGTTAGCTCCATATTATTCTCAGAGCTTATCTCCTCATGGTCAGCAGGTGCCAGAGATAAACTAAAGGCTCTGAGCATCAGCTGAACAACATTAACACGCTGCAATGCACCAGGGCCACAGATAAACCCCAATTCTACCTCTGCCATTCCAGGAGGAGTTTTAGGCAAGCTGGATGCCTGCATTGGTGACTTTGGTCAGGATACTGAGAGAATCTCCTCTCCATCTCCAAAAGCAGCTGTTCTTGTGTCTCTCAAAGACCTTGCACTTGTTAGGGCCATGTCACCATCGCTCAGTGCGGCCCGTGTCCCATAGCATCTGCCTCGGCAGGCGTTAGAAACCGCCCGGCAGCAGAGGAACCGCTCCATCTCGCTCCCCAGATATTGCCATGCTTCCGTTACCAGGTCATCTAACGCCAGACCAATACGTAGTTACACGGCAGTTCAAATGCTCGCGCAGCAGTGGTTTCTAATCATTCCTTAATCCTCTTTTTTTCCCCTGTAGCCTTAGCACCAGATTTTAGACTAAGTCCAGTGAAGCGACTGATACCTGCAGCCCGAAGCGGGAAGGTCATCATCCCATGCCAACCAAGAGCAGCACCAAAAGCCACTGTGCTCTGGACCAAAGGGACTGAGCTCCTCGTCAACAGCAGCAGGTAGCAGCACAGAGTCAGCTCCTACCTAGAAACCAGAGCTAAAATCGCTTTTTTTTCCTCACCAGAAGACTGGACTTGATGACTTGATGTGCTGCTGCATCCCTTAACACACACAGTTGATTATTCCTCTGGTTTTGTCTTTACAAAGCTCCTACATAATATTGTGCAGCCCTGTCTTTATCATGAACTCCTCTAAAATCAGCAAGCGCCGTGCAGAGCGAACAGGCATTGTAACCCTAACCCAAACCTCCTGTTCGGTTCTTCTTCCTTCCCAGGGTGACCATCACTGCAGACGGCACCTTGATCCTCCAGAACATCAGCAAATCTGATGAGGGGAAGTACACCTGCTTTGCTGAGAACTTCATGGGCAAAGCCAACAGCACCGGGATCCTCTCAGTTCGAGGTAGGGATGTTTGCCTTCATTTGGGGTCAGGCAAGCGAAGAAGGTCTAAGAATGCCACGATGTGATGTTTCTCCTCTCCTTAGTCCCCAAAAGCAATGCGGTACTCAGGGAGTCACAGACATTTCAGCCTGCGGAGCAGCAAACTTTGTTTCTGACCCACCAACAACTGCACCTTGAGAAAAGCATTGCCATTTTCTAACGAGAATTTCTTATCTTCTTCCTGTAAAACCGCAGCTGTTAGGGAGGGATGAGAAGCCGGGAAGCGTTGGTTGGTTTGGATGCTCTGCAGCATTACCGCACATCTGGCACATGGGCATTTGCAGCTCTCAGCCCTCCCTGCCCTTTCTCTGCAGATGCCACCAAAATCACGTTGGCACCATCCAGCGCTGATATCAACGTGGGCGAAAACCTCACCCTCCAATGCCACGCGTCCCACGACCCCACCATGGACCTAACCTTCACCTGGTCGCTGGATGATTTCCCCATTGACCTTGACCGCTCTGAGGGGCACTACCGGCGAGCCAGCGCGGTGAGTGAAGCAGCAGCTACGTACTATTGCAAAGGGCAGAAAACCAACACCGGCCTCTTTGTTCGCACGTCGAACGCTGGGTTGCGATCAGGTGTGCTCAAACGCTTTCCCCGCTGTCTTTTCTCTTCCCCACGCAGAAGGAAGCGATCGGGGACCTGAGCATCTTCAACACGCAGCTGAGGCACTCGGGCCGCTACACGTGCACAGCCCAGACGGTCGTGGACAGCGCTTCGGAGTCGGCCACGCTGACTGTCAGAGGTAACCTCGCTGCCATAGGTGCCCTGTTCCGTACGAGACCGAAGCAACGGCACCTTGCAAGGGACCAGCTCATTCTTCCCTTCTTCCCTTCTCACCATCCAGCCGGATGGGACGTTCTAATGAGCTTTAAGACAGGTCAAAATTTGAGGTGAGGCTCCCCAGCCTCCCAAAAAGAAAGGCCTGGTTCTAATCTATGACTTGCACAATATAAAGAGCAGTAAGCCTCCAAATCTTTCCTCTCGGTAACGCGTCCGTCTGTCCTCCACCCTTCCAGGCCCCCCAGGCCCCCCCGGGGGTGTGGTGGTGAGGGACATCGGTGACACCACCGTCCAGCTGAGCTGGAGCCGCGGCTTCGATAACCACAGCCCCATCGCCAGGTACATCGTCGAGGCGCGCACCCTCCTCTCCAGCAAATGGAAGCAGATGCGCACCAGTAAGTGTCCCGATGGCAGCCGCGGCGGCCCAGGCCGGGCACCGTCTCGCTGAGCAGCTCCTGCTCCGTGCTCGCGCGCTGGCTGCCACTCGCTCTATTCGTTCTCCTCTCGTGTTATTGGATTATATAGATCCTGTAAATATCGAAGGCAACGCGGAGACGGCCCAGGTGGTGAACCTCATCCCCTGGATGGATTACGAGTTTCGGGTCCTAGCGAGTAACATCCTCGGAGTCGGGGAGCCGAGTTTACCCTCCAGCAAGATCCGTACCAAGGAGGCAGGTAGGTGCAGAGACACCCAGAGGTGGAAGGGGGATCGGAGGTGCCGGTCCCTGCTGCAGGGGGAGGGCTGGCTCTCAGCAGCCTTGGGCACAAACAATTGCTCATCTCCTTCAGTGCTCCCAGGGTGATGCCGTCACAAAGTTTTCTGCCTTTTTGCCTATTTACACATCAAAGACAAAGCGGCACCAGAGCTGGCAGCCAACTCCACCATCCTCAGATACAATATATTAAAGCATTACAAACCCCGGCTTCAAATCCTTCCGGGCAGGAGCGCTTAGGAAGGGGGAAGAGTCCCACTGTGTCACAGAGCACAGCTCTGCAAAGACGAGGTGAATTTCCCAGCAAATATCTATGAATCCCAATTCTGTTTTCTGCTGCTTGAACGTGCAAGCAGAAGGGATGCAAGGACAGCAGAAGTGCTCTCACCATAGCACATGCATATTAACTCCTTTCTAATAAAAGCTCTCCTCCGTATCCCTGCTTTTGAGCTCGATTCTTGTCCCCTCAGCAAAATGCTGCCTCCAAACAAGCTCGCCAGGCACCAGCCAGTATTCTAGACCCGATTTTCACCAATACCTCAAATACTCATGGCTGAAAATACAGAGGCGAGCTCCTCCATAGGAGCTGTCAAAGCCCGGTTACCCCCAGACCGCGCGGTGCCTGTGCTCATCTCCATCCCTGTCCGTTCCCTAACCCAACCTGTGCTGTCTGCTTTTGCTCGGGGACCCGACAGCACCCACTGTGGCACCATCTGGGCTCGGCGGAGGCGGAGGGGCTCCCAACGAGCTGATCATCAACTGGACGGTAAGTGAGCAGCATGGCCCCAGCCGCGGGCACGGGGAGAGGGCCAGGGGGAGGAGCAGACCTCATTTCTTTTGGGAGATCAGTGCCGCAATTGCCGTTTTCATACGCGGTCGAGCCAAATGCTGTGCCAAGTCCAAAATCTTGCTGGCTTGAACGGACCGAGGCTCCTCTCTCTTTCCACCCCGCTCACAGCCGACGCTGCGGGACTATCAGAACGGGGATGGTTTTGGCTACATCTTGTCGTTCCGCAAGAAGGGCACCCAGGGGTGGCTGACAGCCAGGGTGCCCCACGCGGAATCGCTGCACTACGTCTACCGGAACGAGAGCATCGGTCCCTACACCCCCTTCGAGGTGAAGATCAAAGCATACAACAGGAAAGGAGAGGGACCCGAGAGTCTCACAGCCATCGTGTACTCTGCAGAAGAAGGTAAAGGAGGGCTGTGGGGACCGAATTCGCCACGCTTTGTCCAACCAACAACCACCGTGTCCTCAAACCAGCCCCCTGCAGAGCCGGCTCTGTCTGAGAGCTCACAGATAGGAGAGGTTTCTGTGACTCAAAGAGCAGCTGACAGTGATTTCAGCGTAGAATTTATCTTCAAATGCCCAGCGCGGTGTTTCCCTAAGCCCAGCCGTGACCGTGCACCCCGAGCTGCAGAGCAGCCCCAGCTCCTCACAGCACTCGGCCGTGGCCCCACTTGTCCTGCCAAGTCCCCAAATCCCTTCCCCTTGCTTTGCTCCCTGCTGTCTGGCTGCGCAGTAGCGGTGCTGCAGGAGAGCCCTTGGTTTCAATACAGTGATGCTGCTGCTAGGACAAGCGTTTATTCCCTTTTTATTGTCTTTTTCAGAACCCAAAGTGGCTCCTTTCCGAGTTATGGCCAAGGCCGTTCTGTCCTCAGAAATGGACGTGTCCTGGGAGCCCGTGGAGCAGGGAGACATGACCGGAGTGCTTCTGGGCTACGAGGTACGAGCCTGCAATGGGAATGGGAGGCACTGAAACCCAGACGGGAGAGCCCAGCAAAGGCAATTTCCCTGGGCTGAGTATTGTTTCCAAAGATGGGGGATAATTAATGGACAGCACGAGGCTCCAATGGGGCCAACACTACTGCCCACGAGAGAGATTAGTGAGAGAGAAACAGCCTTTTTTTCTGCTTGCCTTTCCACACAGGCTGTAAACTTTATTGCTGGGCAAGTGCTAAGCAAATTGCATAGAAACAAATGCCAAAAGGTCTCCAGCACTGGCCGCGGATGGGGCTGGTACCTGGAGGTGCCTCCATCCGTACTAAACCCATCACACCCCTTTCTGCTCAGATCCGGTACTGGAAGGACGGCGGTAAAGAGGAGGCAGCTGACAGAGTGAGAACAGCAGGACTGGTCACATCGGCTCACGTCACAGGCCTGCACCCCAACACGAAATACCACGTATCAGTCAGAGCCTACAACCGGGCTGGGACCGGCCCCCCCAGCCCCTCCACCAACGTCACGACCACAAAGCCACGTGAGTGAGCCCCGACCACCTCCGTTTTGCACAGCAACTGCTTAACCCATGAGCTATTGCATCTTGGTGCTCTAACACCGTTCTAACTGGTCCATAAAACAGCTCCCTGGATTTCCTCAGATCAGCTTTATGGTCTGTGCATCACTTATCCCAGATACTGGGATACTTCCCTTTAAACCAAGCACAGTGGTGCCACCAGCCCTGTCACAGTCTCAGGAGATGGTTGTAACCAGCACAACCTCCTCACGGGTCCCTGATTTACTGAATCTGTCTTGTTTTGTCTCTCTTAGCACCAAAGAGGCCGCCTGGCAACATCTCCTGGACTTTTTCTGGGTCTACGGTCAGCATCAAGTGGGACCCCGTGGTGGCGAAGGCAGACGAGTCCGCAGTCACGGGGTACAAGGTACAAGCAGCACCCCTATAGGTGACCCTAAGGAGATGGTGGTGACCATGAGCTCAGACCTGTCTGTGCCCACAGATGCTTTACAGGCAGGATTCCCACTCTGCCCCCACGCTGTACCTGGCCAGCAAGAGCCGCATCGACATCCCCGTCCCCGAAGACTTCACTCACGCCTTTGTGCAGATCCGAGTGACGGGCCCCGGGGGTGATGGGACCCCCGCAGAGGTTCACATCCTCCGAAACAGTGGTAGGTACAGGCGCTCTGCTGGCTGCACACACAAACACACACACACACACACACACACACACACTCACTTTTGGGTGCTTCACAGACCGCTGGGTAACGACTTCAGAGAGAGGAGTTAATTTGCAGGATCACTTGCCTGTCACCTGCTCTTCGATAAGGAATGACTCAGTCACTCCTCATCCCCTGCCCAGTCCTAGCATGGCACCATGCAATAAACACTGTTATGTTTTAAAATCCCACTCTTATTTGCAGGAACACATGGGAACGTCTCACCCCAGTGCTTTAGGTTGAGCCTCTGGACCTGGTCTTTGTCTCCCTTGCGCTGTTCACTGAAGGGATCTGCTGACAAATCCCCCTCCATCAGCAAAACCGCTCCCCAGACCCTGAGCAACCTCTCAGTCTGAACCCAGCTTCATTTTATTTGTAGCTGAAGCCCTGGAGGCCCCGTGCAAACCCAACTCAGATCACTAAGAGTGAAACCCTGGCTCTGTAGGGAGTCCCTGACACCAACTCTCCTTGAACCGGGGTGTAAGCACTTAGGGCCCACCTCCAAATCCTTGTTTCAAATGCTAGGAGGTTCATCAGAGATAAGCCAATATAAGCAAAGCAGAACCCCAAAGTTAACATTTAACCCCTGCTCCCGACTCTTTCCACAACACACCAGGCTGTGTCAGTGCAATGAGGCGGTCGCTCCTCTCTTGCAGGGACCAGCATGATGGTGGAGGACTCCGTGACAAGGCCAGTGCCCCACGCCGCCCTCATCACCACCAACTCGGTGGTGATGCTGGCCCTGATCCGGTACCTGGAGCTCTGACGATGGCAGCGCAGCAGGGGACTCCCGGACGCGTCCTCCCGAGCCACGGGGACACTCGGATTCGGCTGCTGCCACTTCACATTCGAACCACAGCAGCGCTACAGAGAAAGGGTTTGACACCATCGTTTCGAGGGAGGAAGAGAGAAACAGCCTTTTTTTTTGTCGTTTTGGAAGAACACAAGCTTTCATACAAGACATGGGTCTTTAACCGATTAAAATTTTTTTAAAGAAAGGAGTAAAACGAAGAATTCTACCCGAATTCTGACAGCCGACTGCCCCACACACTGTATCCAGTAGGTTTTCTGCCTTATGAAGCCATGTACTAAAATAACCAGACCGCTGGACTTGAGTTTTTTTAAATATGTACAGTGAATTTTTTTGGGGGGGAAAAAGGGGGGACGGGGACTGAGGATTCCACAGCGATCAGCATGTTCCGTACCAATCGCAGTCACAGCCATCTCTAACAGATTACGGGACAGGATTTTCTTGGTTTTCCCCCATAATACGAGCCAAATTCTGCAGCAAGCAGCCCAAGGAGACAAAGCCACAAGAGAGACTGAGCTCGGCCCCATGCTGACGATGGGGGAACACAGAGTTTAGGTTGTGGAAAGGTTTTTAACAACGCTGGTGTTAACTCACAGCCTCAGCCTATTGCTTGTATCAGCCGTCGTGTCGCGAGGCGCAATGCTCAACGTTACCCATATCCCACGTGCGTTTGGGGTGTTTCTGTTATACCGTTCGCTTCTTTCCTTTCGGTTTGGGGAGGAGAAGGGGTAAGCAAAAAGGAGATGCTTTTCTACCACCTGCTGATGTGGAGAGGCAGTTCTGCCTGATGGCAGAGATGTCGACATATCCAGTTTCAATAGAAAAAGGGTCTTAGAGGAGGAAGAAAAAGGAGTATTACCCCGTTTAATCAAGAACGGAGTTAGGTCAGGTCCCAAGGGCACATTTAGGGACCTTCCCCTGCCTGTACCTTGCTCCTCCACAGCGGCCAACGCTGCTGGGCTGAGCAATCTCAGTCCCAGGTACCCAGGAAAGGGCTCCCCTGGCAGGACATGGACCCATAGCGTCCCATCCCAGTCCTTTAATACCTGACCTACCCAGGAAACAAGGGGGTAAATGCACCGGGAGGTTCACGCCGCGAGATGCAGACAGCCAGGCTCCAGAGGAAGAGGGGCTCCTCTGTGTGCAGCAAACAGGATAAACCTTGTAAAAACAGGCAAAGAAAACTAAAGGTAATGAGTCTAAATATTTAGAGAACAGCTGCGGCAAATCCAAACCACACTTCACTGCTTCCATTACAAATAACACCTGGGATCGATGGAAAACAAGACACCAGCCCCCACGGACACAAGGGAGATGGGGCAGGCAGGGCAGGCAGGGAACCATCACCCCCAGAGCCTCCTCCAGTCCCTCCGCAGCTCTCCATGAATCACCCCCTCCGTGGTTCAAACACTTCTTTCAGCAGGACAACAGCTAAATATAAATTATATTTTTGTATGGTTTACGTTCTTGAAGATTTTACAGTATTTTTATTGATGTTTTGGGAGCTTTGTTTGGCAGAATATGTTGTTAATTCAGCATTTTTGTTATCACCTCCACCTTGCTGGGCCTTCAGCCTTTCTCCCACAAAGGATGGGGTGAAAGGAAAATTAGGAATTCAGTGTTAGCTCAGAAGCAAAGCAAATTAGGGCTTGGGCAAGTTACCTGGTCGACACGCAGAACTGGCGGTAGCTGTGATGATGGTGTTTAGGAGGCATAAACTAACTGGACCCAAGGAGCTGGATGATGAGCCATGACTGCTGGATGGTGCCTGCTTCAGGAGAGGGGTGAGCAAAGCCAGTGAGGTGACGTGATGGCCCCAGGAGCCTTCACTGAGACGCAGTTGGAGGCACCAAGAACCCATCAGATCCCTGCAGGGCCGAAGGACGCGCGGTGCGGGACCACACCTGGGCTGATGGACCAAGGGGCTCCTGCGAGATCCAGGGGCTGAGGCTCAGCACCCTCCAGGTCCAACCACCCCCATCTCTTACAGCAGCCTGGTCCCAGCAGATGCTTCCAAACGTGTCTGGAAACACCAGCGGCTCTGTTTTACTGAGCTTAGTGTTGGAAAGCGAGATGCTTTATGGTGAGAACGGTGTCAAAGTGCTGCAATGCCTCTGGTTTTTAAATAGCAGGCACCTGCAGCGTTTCCCTGGGAAGGTCAGTCCATTTTCCATACGTCTCTTTGCTAAACTAGATCACAGGCACATTTTATGTAAGAAGGGAAAAACCACGCGAGTTGGATTTCAAACGTTCCAGTTACCACCGCTCTGCATTGCAAATGGGCCGAGTATGTTGTAATTTGTAAAAGCGATGGGACGGTATTTCCTAAAGTCTCCAGGTGAGAAGTAGATCCCCTTGAAGGTTAAATTGAAAGTCTTCAATTTTAATTCGAGCTACGCCTTTTTTTTGGAAAAAAAAACCCATCAGTACATACAGCTTCACCAGGATGCATTTTAAATCAAACAGTGCTGGGCTTTCCCAAGGTTTTAAGGATTGTGGATATAAACAAAGAGGTACGACCTCGTGACAACCACCATGGCCTTACAGCTGGACACCACCCCATCTATGGCTCCAAATTATGTCACTACTCGCTGCCTCAGTTTCCCTTCCTGAAAAGCGAGGCACACGGTAACCAGGCAGCCTCTTCCCCACAGATGTTTTGTGATTCTGGGGGTATTTGTTGGTACCCCAAAGCTGCGGAGCAGAAAAGGCAGCGGCAAATTAGGAGACACTGCAGGTGAGCACAGGGAAACTCCTCGGGGGAAGGACGGGCACATTGGTGAGGGAGGGGACAGCCAGTTGGAGCCACCCAAAATGCAGCACGGGGCTTAAATGGAAAGGTGTCCAGCACCAGGGGAGAAAAATGAGATGTCAACACTCACCAGAGTTCACTGGCTTTACGCTATCGCATCGGGCTGCAAATCAACGTCCTGCCTCGTTCAGGATCCCCTGCATTTAATTGCTCCGAGCATTTGCTGTAGGGATTAACTCACAGGGACGGGTTAAGTGCATGGGGTTTGTTCTCAGCCCTGCAACGGCTCACTAAGGAAAATAACCTGAGTTCACAGGGTCCATCTCACCCGTCAGCAGTGAAAACCAACCTGGCAAGGGTGCTGCAGGGAGTTCCAACGGGGGAACCGCTCACATTTGGGGCAGCCAGATGAGAGCTGTGCCCTGAACGGGAGATGCTCCCCTCTCTTTGCCCAAGGAATCAGCTGGGTAATGCAGAATTCACACTCAGCAAATGCCTGGGGGTCTAAACCCCATCTGCTCTGAACCCGCACCCACAGAAACCCTCTGCTGGGAGTATTTTAATCCAGCTTCACCGCACACAAACAGGGCAGTTTTCTTCTCAGCAACTTTGTTGTACGCTATTTTTTTAAGAAAACCAAATGGAAAACGTTGTAATCATACTGTACTTACTGTAATTACGGTTATTTATTGGCTACAGTAGCACGCAGTTCATAAATAAAGATCTTCAGAGACTTCAGACAACTACGAGAGTCTGGGGCGCTTCTGTCCAGCCTCAGATGCAATCAGTGCCTCAGGGTGTCCCCACTGCACGTCCTAATGCAAACAAGGAGCCCAGAGAGACCCCATCTGCGTGGATAGGGCAAAAGTTAAGTCAATTAGGACACAGCAAACTCAAATTCTATCTCCTGACAGTGATAACCAACCAAGAGAGGAGACACTGTCCATGCAGCAAGGAATTGGGGTGTCGAGGGTCTGGTTAGGGGCGTCAATGCAACGCACTCCCTCTCTCTGCTATTCCAACGGGTAGGAAGTAACGCTAGAAAAATCAGAGTCAAAAATTTCATGCACCTCATTTAGCAGAAAGGGAAACTGATGGTTGGAATAGATGGCCAAAAAGCTTCGCCATCCATCACAGCCTTTAAACCAAGGCTGGAAGTCTTCCAGGAAAGGAAGCCACTCGGTCAAGCCACCGGCTTGGAAAGGTTCACTCACATTATAGGAAATAACTTCCTTCATCGCAGGAAGCGCTGCATGAAATCACCTCATCTACGTTATGGCAGATTAATTCATCACAGGCCTTAAAAACCATCATCTACCTTTGGGAAGGACGTCAAGAGATCAGCGTCAGCAACCGCATGTGAACAGCCCCGAGGGTCTGCACTGGAGTTAGACAAGGAATTGGGCTCAGCAGCAGCAGGGCGTGGGGAGCCTCACTCAAATTCTTCCCCTCAGCCCATCCTGGGTCCATTCGCTTTCATGGGGCCCCTAAAAGAAACACCACGACTGTGGGGTGCATAGGGGGGTCAGGCACCAGCTGCAGCAAGGTGTGCTCGAAGGATGGAGGGATGGACGGAGGGGATGGACAGAGGGAAGGACAGAGGGATGGGATGGATGGAGGGATGGACAGAGGGAAGGACAGAGGGATGGACAGAGGGGAGGGGATGGACGGAGGGGATGGGATGGACGGGGACAGAGGGATGGACAGAGGGATGGACAGAGGGGATGGGATGGACGGAGGGGATGGGACGGACAGAGGGGATGGGATGGACAGAGGGGATGGGATGGACGGAG